ACATATACATATACATATACATATACATATACATAAATATAAATGTAAATGAAAATATATACATACATACATACATACCATACCATACCATACCATACCATACCATACCATACCATACCATACCCTACTCCACCCTACCCTACCCTACCCTACCCTGCCGTGCCGTGCCGTGCCGTGCCGTGCCGTACCGTACCATACCATACCATACCATACCACACCATACCATACATGTATGTATAGCTTTGCACAGTTAATAGTCAGGCTAGGGTTTGGGGTTTGGGAGTTTTAAGGTGCAGGGCTTTACAGGTGCATTGGGTTTCGACCTTGGGGTGGTTTAGGGTTTAGGGCTAGGAGTTTGAGTTAGGGCAACGGCTAGGGTTTGGGCTGAGGGCCCCTCGAGATTCCACGCAAAACACAAGTTCGGCAACCAAACAAACGCTGTATGCTTCCAAGCCCCAAAAACCCAAAGAATCCAAAGTGAAGACGGGAGGCAGCACATCATGAGGTTCTAACTGTACGTGTGAAAGTTCCAGCTCAGTTTTGGGTTGACAGGGCTCATGGGAAGGATGGGGGGTTGGCGGGAGTGCGATGAAGCTTTCATGCGAGAGCGCAGTCAGCAACAAATGAGGGCTGCGACGGTTCCGTTTACCTCGTCTTAGGTAGCGTGATGGGCTTACGACGCTTACGACTCAGGTTTAGGGCCCTGGATTCAGCTCTGGGTTCACATCCCTGTAGAACCGTTTAGAGTTTAGGGTTTGGGGTTTAGGGTTTAGGGTTTAGGGCTCTGAGGTGCTATTATGAAGTTTTGAACTTAGGCAGTTGTGTCGCTGGGTAGCAATTCATTAACTCGTTCGGGCCTGGCGGTCCTACTCGCAACCTCGTGTTGACAACGTCAGCTTGGCAAGCTAGAATCCTGAATCTCCGGCGACTTCCTCATTCACGGCATCGTGCCGCACTGCGAGCCAGCCCAGATCAAGAGTCGATCGGATGCCATACTGGTGAAGTTTGGTCTGCGGAAGATGTGCTGTTTTTGCAGAGGGCGGATCAGCCGGAGCCCGTCGAGCAGGTCAACACGCTCTTCCATCCTCTGCACGTGTTATTGCACCACGAGGAGAAACCCGGAAAACCCTAAACCATAAGCCCCAAACCCTCAAACCCCTAGTCACCTGCAGAGGTGGCCATGGAAAGTATTCGGCTGTCAAAGATGTGGCTTTCCAGGTATATCTGGCCAAGTCGAAGACGCAGACGGCGAGACATGTGCTGCCTTTCAAGTACCTCCCTAGACCCTAAACCCTAAACCCAGACCCTTTCTGTTGCTCAAGAGCCATCTTCTCATTGCAGCTCACATGGGGGTTCCTGGTAGCACATCGGGACCTGCTGCTCCTGCATTGTGGCTTCATCATGCTACGACGCGTGGACATCAAGCCATCCAGAGCTTCCGTTCGCCACTGCGTATTCCGCAACAAGAGGTACACCATTCACATATGGTTCTTGCAGCAACCGAGCAACCGTAAAGATCTTGCTCTTGCTGTACTGCCCAGTTACCCACTGTTCGCAGATATCGTGGCTTTCGCAATGGCCGTATGCCAGGGTGTGCGCCAATTCTGGTGCCGGCATGGACATCCTGCAGAATTATGAAAAAAACCTGGCGCTTTGAGATAGGAGGCCCTCAGAGGCACACATCGCTGCTGCGGTAGTTGCTTTGGATTTCCGGGGTTGCGGCACCCGTCAGTGCAAGCGCCCAATGCTCTTCTTTCCCCGCATCCCTGTGCCCAGAGATGGCACACCAGTGTCTTGAAACCTAAACCCTCAACCGTAAACCAACCCAACCAACCCAACCAACCCAACCAACCCATGCAGACGCGGGCCCCTGGAGTAGAAAAAAGAGGGCCTTGGGTGGGGGCTCCTGCAAGTGTACATGGAGACGAGGGTGGGAGGAATTTAGATCCCAAGCCCTAAACTCTGAACTCTAAACCCCCACACCGAAACCCAATCACCACCCAAAACCGGCCCAAAACCCTAAACCCAAAACCCCTAAACCCTATGACGCCTATAACCCTTGGAGTCCGAGCTCCAGCTCGATACCTTGAGCCGAGGGCCAGGCTACTAATTAACTCCGAGGTTTTCCACTCGATGGTCACCTCAGGCTGTTATGGTGTCGGAGTGAGCGCTTAGCTAAGTAGGGGATTAAGGGTTGAGGGCCATGGGGAATCTTGCAGGGTTTAAGGTTAAGGTTTTGGAGTTTCAAGGTTTCGGGATTTGGGGGGTGTTGATGCTGGTGCTCGGGTTCAGAAGCCAAGCTTTGAGCTTGTAGTTCGACGTTCGGGGGTTGGGCGCGGAAGATGCAGGATCTTCCGGTTTAGAGCTTCAAGGATCAAGGCTTGCATGTACAGCAAGCCTGCGTTGTGGCGACAAGTCACCCGCTCTGCGACCTAATACAGGGGACTGAACTATAGAGATTATAAACCTAACCCTAAACCCTAAACCTTTAAGGAGGTCATTTACAAGAACTACCCATAAGTTCAAGAAGCGTTGACGGCAAGCCCCACGCTGGCTTGGAAACTCTGCCCAACATACTCCGAAAGCTTTGGGACTTTGGGTTTAATTCGGATCCCCTTTTAGGTCCCCAACGTAGTATGGTACCCTTATAAAAACGCCCCAGGCACCTGTTCACGCGCGCGCAAATGTGCGCACGAGCAGGATCTACTGGTTCTGCCAGTGATTTCAAGCTTCGGGAGGTGAGGAAAGCAGTGCAAAAACTGCCTTATTTTTTCTCTCAAGCAAAAAGCCAGCGGCTGTCCTTTAGCACATCTGCGAAGTGCGCGGGGCTGCAGCCGACTTTGCCGGCACGATCCTCGCGGTAGGCGCGCAGTGCGTCCAAGACACTACGGAGGCCAGGGTTATGCAGGAATCGCCTCGCAGCAAGCAGCGTGACGTGAGCATGCTGCGGGGCCATACGCCCCAAGGCGTTCACGCGTCGAAGCTGATTCTTGCCTACTGCGATCTGCGATTCACACTGATTGTCGCCTCCGACTATTCGGAAGCTCTTCTTTTTCGGGGAAAACTGGGCTGCTGGCTTCTTCTTGACCGCAGCAGCTTTCCGAACTGTTCGCGCCTGCTTGTTTGACAAGCAGGCGGAAGGAAAAGAAACAGTGGGCGTCATCTCATCCAAGCCATGCCTAGCTTGGGCTGCAGGAACTCCAAGAGCCTGCCATGCTTTTGTAAGTCCAGAGCCGCTATCCGAAGCAGCCACCACGCTGCCTGACTCTATGTGCCGCGTCATAAGAGGCATGATTTCACGGAAGGTTTCTGCGCCTGAGCCAAGTCCAGCGTAAAAGCAGAAACGTGGAGGCTAAGGCGTAAACCGTAGACCCGAGACCCTAGAGTTTGAACCCTAAGGCTAGTGAAGGGCGCAAGAGGAAAAAAGGCCTCCTGGCGCGCCGCGCTTCTGAACCGTGTGCCGAAGAGGCCTGACCACAGTCTTCTTGGAAAACCGTCCAGACATGACCAGCACTCTTCCATGCTGAGCTTGCTTGGGCGTGTCTTTGGCACTCTTCTTGCGGTACTTCTCCTCCTTGGTCCGCTGACGCTTCTTGGCTCTGAAACACGAACGTTATTATGGTTTGGGCATGGATGCTCTGGTGAGCGCATGCTCTCGAAACACGAACGTTATCATGGTTTGGGCATGGATGCTGTGGTGAGCGCATGCTCTGGAAACACGAACGTTATTATGGTTTGGGCGTGGATGCTCTGGTGAGCGCATGCTCTGGAAACACGAACGTTATTGTGGTTTGGGCATGGATGCTCTGGTGAGCGCATGCTCTGGAAACACGAACGTTATTATGGTTTGGGCATGGATGCTCTGGTAACCGTATGCTCTTGAAACACGAACGTTATTATGGTTTG